CCCCCCCCCCCCCCCCCCCCCCGGAAGCAGCGCTGCCCGGCTGCGGAACCCGCTTCCGTCCGCCTTCCCAGCCGCTTCCGCTCCGCTCCCGCCGCCATTTTGGGCTCTGCGGGGCTGCCGGGGGCACCAGCACCTTCGCTCGGCCGGGGCTCCGCCGGGGCTGAGGGAGGGAGGGTGCCCAGCGGGATCAAGGCGGGCCCCTGCGGTGCTGGGTGCGGGAGGAGGCGGCGGGCCCCGCCGCAGGGAGCAGGCCCGGGGCTGCTTTGATCCGACTCCCCTGAGATGCCGGAGAGTAAATAGCTGATGCCCTCATACCTGTGCCAGAAGAACCACACTCCGTGTTTTGGAGGCTCTCCTGGCTTCAAATAATTTTCAGCAGCCTGGTTGGGCCATGTGGGTGAGGAAGTGCTGTCTGTGAGGAGCACCGAGCCGTCCTGCTCATCATACAACTCCCCAGCGACAAGTAGCTGCCGCTATATTATAAACAGGAGACTGTCTCTGCTGTAAAACACTAGCGGTACAAACTTCACATACCTAACAAACCCAACAAGCAACGAAATGACGTTAAACACGTGAGCTGTGCTGTCTTTTCCCACTTTCTTGACCATTTGCCACGTGTCATTTCCAGGTTAGAGATCTTGGGGCAGAGCTCTGGAACCCTTCCACGGGTGGTCCTTCACTAGTGGTTGCACACAACATGGTATGGGATTGTGGTAGGTCAACAGGGTGAAGGAACCGAGACAAAATTATCTTACTTCTTTTAAGCCTTAAACACCTATAGTGTTCAGGAACATTGTTTCAAGAGGCCAACATTAATTTAGCGTCCTATACTGTTTAGGAGGCACTGGCTTTGTTTAGCAAATGTTAACATTTAATCTGCCTTTCTCCTGCCCACTGACCTACATCGTTAAGTTTTTTTCCCCGTAGAGTGTATAACGATGGTTGTTGCTGTTAGTTCCTGGCCCTGAGGAGAACTGACCAGACTTGTTTCTTCTCTTTCTTCCCAAAGATCTTCCAAGGCCTTTATTGTTACGGATATACTGAGATTAAGTCTTCCAGCATCCTGCAATGAATACTGAAGGGCTCTTACAGAAATGAATTGCAGCTGTTTGAATGATCAGCCATCACGCTGTTTTACTTTTTGGTTAATTGAGAGATCCACTGTGTTCTGAAGATGCAGTGTTTCCCAGTCCTATAGTAATTTATTTATGACATATTTTTAATTATTCAAAAC